AAAAAAAAAAAAATTTAATGGGACAGGCGGCTGTTACTAGTCCCCGCCCCGAATACCCGATTAAGCGGGTTATCCACACCCCGTTCGGGGTGGGGCCACGCGGGTATAGAGTTTGTCCGATTTTTTTTTGCCATCCCTAGAAGGAAAGTGGGGGATACTGGATTTCCTTTTTCTATAAAAGGGTGTGAGGTATCTTTGGACAGGGAGATGACATTATTCATATTTCAAATATTTCTTTTGATGAAACTTTTGTAATTAAGAAGTGATTATCAATAAAAATCCTTATTTTCTTTCTATTTACTCAAAAAGTTGATTTAAATTGATTCTTACACTTTTTAATGTCAACAAACATGTTTTCAATAGATGGAGAAGAGTGATTACCAATGTTTCAGTTTCAGTAATTTTTCCTTTTGCATTATCTCCGAATGTGACATGACTTCCATCATTTACTTTGAAATTTAACATTCTATCATCAGTCATGTGTCTTGAGCATCAGCTATCTAAGAACCATTTGCTCTTCATCTTCTTCGATTCCTACAAAAATAATTCAATTTTTTATCTTTGATACACATACAAGTTTGGATCCTAGGTAGTTAGTTTTAGTAGATTCTTAAATCCACTCATTCTTGCTTTCAAAATGTAACCTCTTTTTGGTTAGACAATTATATGCAACATGTCCATCTTTATTGCAAAAACTATTTGTAGTTTTTGAAAAAGTAGTGTTTGAAGCTTTGACGAATAATTTTTTGAAATATTTTTTGTTTTAAATATTGTTTATATCTAATTCCTCATTTATCAAAAACACACTTTTGATCATCAAGTATTAAATCAAAATTCTTCTTATCTTGAGTAAATTTACAAATAATTTTAGTTAAGTTTTCAACTTTTTCTTTCAATGAAGAATTTTCTTTGATCAGTAAGTCATAATCAACATTTTCATTTTAAGTTGCTAAAAATTTTTTCATCTCATTTTTCAACAAGTAGTGCTTCTTTTAAGAATATAGTGATTTAGAGTAAGTTTTTCAAATTCGTCAAGAATTTCATCATAGGAGGTAGATAAATCATCATACGAATATTTTTCAATTGAGTTTACCTCATCTTCAATTGCTATGAAACACATGTTGACAATTTTTTCTTGACTATCATTTTCATCATGATCATCATCGTCGCTTTCATCCCATATTGCTTGAAGTACATTTTTTTTATATTCCTCTTCTTGTTTGGGCACTCGGTTCTCTTGTAACCGGGTTCGTCACAATTATAGCAATGATTTGTTTGCTCATTTCTTCACCCTTTTCATCTTTCTTTTAGAATATCTGATTGTTTCAAAAACCTCTCCATTTTTTGACAAGAATGACTAGATCATCGAGCTCTTCATCTCTCATATTTTCACTTGTAGTTCCTTCCTCGATTGCTAATTTAAGAGCAATGTGGCGCTTAGGAGGCTCCTTTGATTCCTCTTTGCTTATCCTCATTTTCTCCTTAGTCTTGGTGGTTGGTGAGCTCATATGTCATCAAGGTGCTATAGAGTTCTTCCAAAGGATATGAATTAATATCTTTGGTATTTTCTATTAACATCCTTAATGGGCTCCTTTCTTCCGATAGTGACCTGAACATTTTACTTTCAAGTTAACCTTTAGTAAATTTTATCAAGAATCTAAGTTTAGCAATACAGCTTAACAAAAAGACTAAACTTAGGTGCATAGCGCTTAAAGAAGTTGTTGAAGAGCAGCTTTCTGTCCCAATAATGACTACTTTGTAATCGGCATCTTTTCTTAAAGCATCTTTTCATAATTGTGCAAGATAGCTTATTAACCGGCAAGAACTCGTGGAACTCCAGCTTTTATTTTATCCTGTATTCTCATAGACAAATTTCTTCATTTTTTTAACTGCAGAGTATGCTAGATTCTGCTACAAGTCTACCACACGTGAACATGTTGCGGATTTGAAATTATAATTGACAAGGCATGCAAACTCTCTAGCCAACTAAGATGAGAGTTTCAGTTGATTTTTCCACTTAAAGTTGCCTAGATCATCTGCAGCAAGATGGGGAGGTTGAAATTCCCTACTTATTTGCTATTTTACACCACATGATGCAGGGGAAAAGGGAATGATGAAAATATTTACCATGCCCTTGTTTGAAAGTGATATTTTTGAAATCACATTTCTACTACAATTTTTCAACTACACATTCTTTCAAAAAAAAAATTCAGATTTTCCCATATATTTTCCTTACTTTTTAACTACACATTTTTCAAAAAATAACTTTTGCACAAGTACTTAAAAAAACTCACGGGGAATGCGAACCAAATGTGTTTGATGTGAATCCTGTGCCGGTAGCCTAGGCTGAAGGCCATTTATTCTCTGGCTTACAAATTTAGTCTCAGTAAAGGTCTAAATTAACATTGTTTTTCTGCTCAGGCGTCCTTCTCCTGTTCGTGTCTATTCTATTCTGGTGATCTTAGTTTCATCACTCTATCTTCCCTGTTATAGAGGTTTATTTTGATCACGTGATATATTTTGTTAACGAGATCTCTCGGTATTTGGGTGGACGAATTCACACCTTGAGATTACGATGATTGCATTGCTGTCTATAGACCGTGAATTATCTTTACTAAGAACATATGGATCTGAACAATTGATTCTATCAGTACTTCCAACTCTTCATATCACAGCCAATATACACAATACAAAGAACAAGAATAGGGTGATCTCAAAAGTTTATAGCCTGTTAGTAAAATACATGATCCTAAGCATGTTATGCACACACTTTCTTCAGGTGATAAGAGGGATTACGCCCATGTTTGGTTCAGCTAAAAAAATTCTAAACCAAGCTGGGGCTACAAAATGATCATTGGATTCGTGCTGCAGCCCACATACTTTGCCTTCATGTGATAATAAGAAGGTTATTTGCATAGCCATTATTGTGGACGATGGGGCGTAGATAATCAACTTTCCATATGCCATCAACAATAAACTTGATCTGTCAAATAATATAGGAGGCATTTATACATGCATATAATTCAATGAACACGTGAAAAACATTGTCGATGTTTGGAAATCAACTTACCTCGTATCTACCTGGATACAGCTTTAGGCACATGGAGAAGATGCCTGTCCTTGATTTCTCCATCTTTCTCTGCAATTTAAAGAAGCATATCACACTACTAATCAAGAATAGTTATAATCAAATCATGGTTATAAAAGAAATCAATTTGTTGGCAAAACCAGTGGCAAAACTTTATACGGTTAGTTTAGCTGAATTGTAATGTCTCAATAATCAGAACAGGGTAAAAATGCAATTTTTGGTCACTACAGCATGTTGGGAATTGTTTATAAACTGTTTAAATTAAAAAAATATATAAAAATGAATGGTGAATGAATGGGTAATACTTGTACGTCCCTCAAATTCTGTGGATAAAAAGTAACTAAGTGTTTGTAAAAAATTTATAAACATGAGCCAAACATAGGCTGCCCATCATGCAAAACCAAAGAACAAGCTACGCCTGGTTCCCAATAAACACAAAGTTGCTGCACGAATCCTTTCTTTCACTTCTTTAAACCTAACACTAATGTATAGAACCAGATCTTCCAAAATATGTCCATAATATTGGTAAAGATTTGAGCAAGGTGATGTGCGTGCAAGCACAAGGATTACTTTTAAAATTCTATAGCATCAAAATAAAAATATAGAAAATAATGTTGGAAATTGGTTTAAAAAGAGAAGGAAAAATCGTTAAGTATGAAACCATAAAGTGTTAAAAGTGACTTTCGTATTAATTTCGGTCAAATATTTGGACTTGATCCGATATTCAAATTATGAAAATAAATAGACTAACTTGATCTACTCGTCGAGAAGATGATCGTAGTATATTTGGAATCTCAAAATCAATTCCGAATGAATGAGAAATTGTGATTGAAAGTTAGAGGAAAAAAACGAATTTTCAGCACCTAAGTCTGTCGCTCAAGTGACTGGCCAGCTCCAGGCGAGTGAAAGACTCTACTTTTGGTGCTCGAGCGGCACAAGGGCAACATCGAGCGACAGCAAAAGGCTATGACCCTGGCAAAGGTTGTTGAATTTTGAGCTCTTCATTCACAACCTCCCCTCCTCCATAAATAAGACCCTTTGGACGTCTTTAACCCATCCTAATCATATGCAATCATAGCATAATATAAAAACAATATTTTCTTAGCCAAAATTCTAAATAAATTTTTTTTTTTCATTTCATTCGAAAGGAGTACAAAAGGCATCTTTTGGTTCGCTGTTTTTGTGTTTGGGAGTGCTACAAACACAAGAAGGTAGTCATTGTATCTTGGGATTTGATTGCCATCATTCGTAGGTACAGTTGTGGGACAAAATTGACTTAAGGGCAAATAGTTCAACTCTTGCCTCAACTTTGCATTTATTTCATTGGTGTTACTTTATCCTTTTCATTAGCATTTTAACTTCCATTTCTGTCGTGTTTATTATTCAAGTCCTTACCGTTATTTTGATCAATTTTGGTAAGATTGGTAAGTTTAATTTATTAAGCACTCAAATCCATTTTACAAACAACAAATAATAAAACAAAAAGACGAGAAACGGGACAAAGAATGCTGGAACAACATAAAGCACGGCTAGGACTTGATATAACAATTCAATTAAATATGGAAACAAAATTGAGTTTAGATGTTTGCATAATAAATTGCTAAAATATTCACTCAGATGACTTCAAGATATTGACTACATGTTATGCTGAAATATACTGTTGTACGAAAAAGTTCTTGAAATAACATGATATTCAACCTGTATAATCATCGTGACAATATTGGAAAAATTTGAAGATAAATTTACATTAAGTTGTCCCCACCTCGTCCATCAAATGTCATTTTTCAGAAGGAAGGAATGCCAAACATCTAAATTTAAATTGGGAGGCAATTCAATAGTGGCCTGATCTTTTTTAGTTGTACCACTGACATGCCGTCATTCAGTTATTTTATCCTATCTTATAAATTCTTATATGGTGACATATCTATCTTACTATCCTTATTTCCTCTACATTCATCTTATGCATATTGTCATTTAACTCAACACTCAAGTCTCATTAAAACACAGCAGGTCTTATAACCGCTTCATAGAGCCTTTTGACCTTATAAGTATTTTCCTATCACATACTCAATATCCCGGTCTTGTAAGCGCTACATAGAGCTTGCCTTTTGACCTTATAAGTATTTTCCTATCACTACTCAATATACTTTAATGTCAGCATTACAACTCTTGAAGACCTTTTCGTTGTTGATAATCAAACCTAAATACCTAAAACATCCACCGGGCAACATGATTCTCTATAATGACTCTACTATCTTTGTTATTTCTATTCTTACTAAATGGCAATTCCATGTACACCATCTTGGCTCTACTTGACCGAAGACCTTTAGATTCTAAAGTTCAAACTTCTGATTTAACCTGTTCCAAGTATCTTCCATTAAACTATGTTATCAACAAATAACATTCACCAAGAAACCTCATCTTTGATGTGTCTTGTAAACTCATCTATGATTATAGTGAAAAGATGAGGTCTTAGGTATCTCTTAGCACAAGCCTACTGTTATAGAACCACCAGCTCTTACACTTGTGACTGTTCTATCGTACATATCCTTAATAAATTCATTCTCACTTAGCACCTGCTACACATCTAATTGAAAGCTATCGTAGTTTTTTTGTAAATCATTTCTTTTATCTATACTTCTCCATCAATTCAAGTAGGCAAATGACTCCTGGTCTTTTAATCAAATTGTTTAACCCCAAGACCTTTGACTTTCACCTTAATCTATGTTCAATCACCCTCTTCCATAATTTCATAGTATGAATTGTGCGCTTTGAACCTCCATAATTTGTACAATCTTGAATATCTCCTTTATTCTTAAAAACAAGCTCCGCAGTTTTTTCCCCATTTTATCTGGAATTAAGTACATATACAATCACCTATGAAAGCATCTCATGTGGGCAAAACTTAAGCCTCCATTTGGATACAAATTTATAAATGGTTTATAAATTCAGTCAAACCCAAACATTAATTTCAACCATCCATTCATAACTACTACTCATTATTATCCACATATTTCGAGGAACCCACTAGTATTCCTCTTTATAAACCATTTATAAATTTGCCAAATGGAGGCTTAGTTAATATAGCAAAGTAAATATACTAAAAGAGAAAGATAACTTCCTATTTCCCACTAAACATTGTAGAAAAATCTATGACCTGAGATGTCCAACCATCAAAAGAACCCGCTAAGAGAACCTCTGAAGCTGAATTAGGCCAAACTATGCAGGCAGTACGAAGAAGTTGCAATGCTTTATGGACACCATCAATACTCTCCTGCTTCTCTTCCACTATCTTATGTGCATCACTGCAAAAGTATGGCAGGGATGTCATAGGTGCTAATTATAAAAACTAGGAACTAGAAATCATCAACTGAATTAGATGAATACATTATTGCTAATGCCATTTTCCCCTCTAATACAGCAAGCTTAGCTCGTATCGATCGCAATCTCTGCTGGGTATTCATGTACTCATTCTCTTGGAACTCCCATGCATCAGAAATCGTTTGCAAATCACTGGAGGAGCTCCCACTAACCTGATTAAGAAATAAATCATTGATTGAACAACGGCCACAAAAACATTTTCCAGATGAATAAAAGGTCATAGGAATGAAAGAAGGTAACTGTTCTTGTTTAATTGTAAAATGCATGCTACGATGTATAACCGTTTATCTTGTTCCATGTGAAATTTGTAAAACTCATCCCTACAGCAATTAGCTCGCACATTCATTTAATTTTTTATTCTAGATTAAATACGATAATTTATGACTTGTACACAACAAGCTTTGTCTGTAGTATTTTTAATTGTTCCCATTGATTGTAATGCATGTATAAAACCTATGGAGTCCACTGCAACAGGGTAAAACGAATTATGCATGAATAATATGTATACCTCGTCTAATACGAACTCCTCTCTTTTAGACCTCAAGGAGTGAAGAGCTGTGTTAAGCTCACATTCCAGGTGCCGAAGACGAGTTCGTATCTGATTGTGATTGATCTCGTGTCTACCCAGAGCTTCAGGATTATTCTCTGTACTTGCAGTTATTTGAGTGTTCGCAGCTTCTTTATTTTGTTCCACTTGATTTTTGCTGTATGAAATCTCAGCGGCTGCGCATTTAGGGGACTTCAAGACTTCGACAAAACCAGAGTAAAGAACTGTAAAACCTGCTATACAACTAAAATATAAATCAAGTACCTTCAAATTCTGTATCTTGGAAGCCTTCCCGCTGAATGCTCCAAGTTCTCCATGTTTCTGGCTGAATATCGGGGGTAATCTTGCCTCCTGAATTATTTGCTACACCTTCGGTTGGAATACTTAAAGTGAATCTGGTGCTTTTCCCAGCGTCAGGGCTGTCTTTTATTATTACAGTAAACACTATGTCTCAAGCTTTGCAGGAATATAAACTAAATCAAGATCATTTGATCTTCAACATCAACAATAACAGTGACACTTGTAAATGCACAAGCATGTAATAATATGTCCTCTTTTTGAGGTAGAAAAGCCACATGATCCAATTAGCATATAAAATATACAATCAATTCATTACCAACTCATCAAAACCAACTTACCTTCATCTATAGGTATTCGGAAATACCAACCATTCCTTTCATCTGTAGTTGAGGAATGAGTTTGATATCCATATTTGCCCAAATTAATTCCAAAATCTGTATTCCTCTGCTGCTTCAATCTACTCAATATACCCTTGATTCCAGTATCTTCCTCTGCCCCTATTTCTCTGAGCCAAAAAATAAAAACTTCTCAATAAGCAGACTTCCCAAAACAATTAATATATATGAATATGCTGCTGATGAAAATTTAAAAAGTTGTATATAGTTCAATCAACTTCTTCTTTTTTTCTTGTGTACCAATACCTAGAATAGCATTTAACATATGGTTGGACAACAAAAATCATAAAATGCAGTCAATATATCCAAAAGAACACAGAGACATCTGTATTATGCTTTTCATTGGGTTTCTAGTGGTGGCATCAAGATTCAAAAGAAAAATCAACAAACGGGGTATTCATATAGCAAAAAAATAATCAAATGACAATAGAAGTCAAATCAATAACTGGAAAACACAAAGATAAGAACCTAGTGTTTCACTAAGATTTCAAATAGGAATTGTTTTCAAGCTTTCCCAGCCCCTCCGTGAGACAGACCGAGGCAGAGGGAAAATCATAAATGAAGCATACTTCAAGAAAGTTTGAAGGCGAAAAAACTCACAGTGATCTACCAGACGATGAAGTCAGCTGCGAAGAATTTGGATTACCAGAAGATAATCTCTCCTCATTTTCAACCAAAGAATCCCCAGAAAAAGAATTAACATCCTTTTCTCCCACAGCAGCAATCTCTTTACAACTCTCAACTCTCTTATGAAACTCTCCAATGTCAAAATCTATATCTTCTTTTACATTCTTCCCCGCATTTTTCTCATTCTCATCCTCCCAACCAAGTGAATACCACCCACCTCTCTTCTTTATAGCCTCCACCAAATCCACTCTTCCGGCTCTTCCCAACTCTTCCTTTGTCGGAAACATCGTTGGCTTCTCAGATTTCTCCATAAACTCCATTATTTCCGCCTCCAATTCTGCGTCACTTTCACTCTGTTTACACCAAGAACTACAATTACGGTCCTCAAACTTCCTCGTCCTTTTCACTTCAATAAACCCGTATGAACGGCAAAAGATTGCAGCTTTTTTATAGCTTCGAGCCCCTTTTTTGGCATTAAGTACAAAAATTAGAGAAGGGATCAGTCGATTATTCAAATGCAATAAAGGTTTGTGGAATTTGGGTATGTTAGTTTGGGTTGTAATGAGAGTAACCATCGTTCAGGCATTTCGTCGAACGCTTGGAGGTAGGTTTATCTGCACTTAATTATTTGGGCAATAATGGCCGTTAAAGATGAACAGCACAGGTGCAAGAAAGGGAAGGAGGGAACTGAAAATTAAAGCAACGAACAATGCTGTACCGAAAAGCGTAGAAGGCATTTAAATAGGCCTGTTTTGTGCAAGAGTATAGATTAGGACACTGGACGAAGCTTAAGAGGTACTTTATGTCTGTAGAGTTCAGGATCAAACAAAAATAGAGGCCGTATTTGACAAGAAGCCATTAATTTAAGTACATAAAAGATTTTAGGACACTCGACGCCTACGGCCGTAAAGCATTGTGGGGGCGGCAAGAACGAAAATTTGTTGGGAGGGAAATAGAGGTGGGCTCGAACTATAGGTGGTTTGCTCCTATGAAATTTCTTACATGTCGAGCTATTCAATCCCATTTTTTAGTTATAGGTGCTATTAAAATGAAAGTTGAGATTTAAATTGAGAAGATATTACTTCAAACTCTATAAAAAAATAGAGATCATCGACTAGTAATCTGGAGTAATGATCGATGAGAAATAACGAGAATCACTACAAGACTGATAGTCTATTATTAAAAACACTTCTTTTTGAGGTGAAAGCATACACTGAATTGGTTCTCGCACTGCTATCGAAAGAGAAAATCCCCCTTCACGCCCATCGATAGGGGAAGCTCCAATTTTTTTGGAGTATGATACGGGGTCACCAGTTATTTATACTAGTCACTAATTATAACATAGGATGCGCGATGGCAATGCAATCTGTTTATTACGTATTAGTTTATTTTAATACATTTTCAATTCAACTTGAGCATAAAAGACTCGTGGATAACACTCCTGTTTTGTTTTTGATGTTCAGGTTAAACTTGTAGTGAAAGAAACATAATGATTATTGTAAAAATCATATACTAATACCATAATTTTACCAATGATGTCAAAATTAAATCTTATCTTAGTTTTTACTATTTTATTATTGATGTTTGTTGTGTTATAATTGTAAGCATACGATGTCAATTAAACATGTAGTAAAGTGAATCTAAAAAGTTTGAACTAACTATTCATAACTCATTTTGAATAAAATCGATGTTTATGACAATGTTTTGATTAAAATTAATACCAAGAAAATCAAAAGCAATTAAACGAATATGTTTTCTATGGATCGAGAATAAACTACTGAAATGTGATGGTTAAAATGTTGTGACTCACAATTTCACACTAGTTATTCCTTTTAATCTAACTTATCCAATTCAATCCCCTCAAGTTGTAGACGATCGAATAAATCAATTTATCTATTTCGAGTTCAAATCGATTATATTTAGTTTGAGTCAATTCATTATACCTCTATGTAAATTGGAGAAGTCTCAACTAAATGCACTAAATCACATAAGAATTCAATTAAAGATCACAACAATAATAAAATTGTATCTTTACCTTTTTATCTAATATTCAAAATTTACCACGTGGTCTAAGTTTATCATTTACCTCTCGATTTGTTACAATCCACAAATCATGAATTAGTGATCAAATAATTTAAGCAGTAAGAAAAGAAGTAAAATCAATACATAAAACAATTAACTAGGAGAATCTTAAAATTGAAATTAAAGATTCAAATCTAGGTTACATCGTTCGTCCTAGCTAATAATTTAGTTAGACATTGTTATGGGTCAGTAGATGGAAGCGACACGTG